AGTTTGCCTTCTGGACCGTGGATGTCCACATCTGGCACATCAATGTCAACCTTGGGGCCTTTGATGTCAAGTCCGGGTGCTTTCAGCCCCCCTTCCAGTTTTGGGGCAGAAACATCCAGGTCTCCTTTCACTCCGGGACCTTTCAGATTCAAGTCGATGTCAGGCATGGATATTTTGGAGGTCTTGACATGTACCTCTGGCATCGTAACTTTGGGGCCTTTGACATCTACGTCAGGCATGCCCATTCCCAGTTTGGGGCCTTTAACGTCAAGCTGAGGTCCTTTCAAGTTGCCACCCATCTTTGGGATAGAAACATCCACTTCTCCCTTCAGCTTAGGTCCCTTCACGTTAATGTCCATATCTGGTCCAGATATACTGGGCCCTTTCACATAACCCTCTGGACTTTCAAATTCAACATTGGGAGCCTTTACGTCCATCTTGAGACCCTTGGAGCCAAGTCCTTTGACATCCCCTTCCACTCTGGGGACCGTGACACCCATATCTCCCTTCACCTGAGGGCCTTTCAGGTTCAGGTTTACATCCGACAGAGAGATTTGGGGCGTTTCAACCTTCTTGAACTTGGGGCCTTTCCATTCTCCTTTGATGGCCACATCGGGAACACCAACATCTACCTCGGACGCTGCTGGTCCCACCTCACCCTTTGGGAGCACCATTTCCACAACGGGACCTTCCCCTGGCGAGTCCAAGGCAGTAAATTTTGGAAAGTTCATGTGTGGCATTTTGAGTTTTCCCTTGCCGCCGTGAACATCTGCATCAGAAGCCGGGAACTCGACGCCGGGTCCTTTGATACCCATGCCGGGGACCTCCAGTGCTGGGGAGGGGACCTTCACAGCACCCTTCAACCCCATGTCCACCTGTGGCTTTGGGACTTTAACTGAAGGAGCTGAAACTTCAGGTCCCGCGACCTGGACAGACGAGGAGACAACGTCCACGCACGGAGCCTGCAGCTTTGGCGCAGGAACATCGGTGCCCACCTGCGGGGCTTGAGCTTCGATGCCAGATCCCGTGGTCGGGAACCCAAATTTGGGCATTTTCATAACGGGAATCTTGATTTTTCCCACATCGACAGCTGGATTTTCCATCGCCGGTAAAGAAACGTCAACTCCGGGGGCTTTGATACCTCCCTGAAGACAAGGGGCAGAAGCATCAGCGTGTGACAGCGTCCCCCCCAGCAGCTCCCCTTGGACATCCACGCCACAAACGTGTCCTTTGCCATCCAGCCTGGGACCCTTGATGTAAAAACCTCCGTCCAGGTTCCCCATCTGTCCATTTGTTTCGATTCTGGGCGAGCTGCCCTGGGGCCCCAGGAACGCCGTGCCAGAAACGATACGTCCCGGCACCTCCACCGTAACAGATTTTCCAGTTTCCCCACCAGGAACTTGGCTCTCCGGCAGTTGAGGGTCCATCTGAGTCCTCAGGTGAACGCCCATCGTTTGCGTCCCCGACATGGTTATCCCGGGCTTTCCGAACTGAGCCTCGCCGAGGTGGACATCCAACTTCTGGGCAGAAGATTCAACCGTTGGTCCAGGAGGGGCCCCTCTGATGTCCGTGCTCCGGTCTATGGCTTGGGTGCTTCTCCCAGGCAGATCCCCCGGTGCCATTTTGATCACGGTTTTCTCAGGCTCGGTTTCAATGTCGCTCTTCATCACGTGGGTGATCTCCTGGGTCGGGATCCGGATTTTAAAGTCCGGGCCGATGACGTCAACATCTTTTGCTCCGTCATGCCTAGTGACATCGACGGTGTACGCCGTCACTTTTCTGGTGACCGTAATGGTCCTGCTCTGCGTTCCACCGCACTCCGTTTCCACCGCCTCCTCCGACTTCAGCCGGGGTTTGATTTTCGTCGTGTAAATCCTCCTGTACTCCTCGTCATCTCCACTCTGGAAATGAAGAGACCTTCGTTAGCACCAGGATGCTTCCTCCCCCTCCTCATCCCTTCTTCCCCACCACTCACCAGAACGACTTCTGGGCTGCTGGCTGTAAACACGTCGTGTGACCATGACTGTCCCGGCAGTGGAGACTTGTCCCCTTTCCGTTGCAAGCGCAAGCCCACCGTGTGGTGGCCCATGCTGTTGAGCAGCTGCGTGACTTCCCCGGATTGCAGGTTGTCAAAATAAACCGTGGCGCTCACGATCTGATCCCCTGGCAGGGGGGCGAGCGGAGGGGCGAGAGGTGAGATATTTTGGAAGGGAGAGGCGGGGAGGAGACCCCCATCCCCACCGCAAGCAAGACGGGGAGCAACGACGCTTCAGCCGTAGGGTTATTGCCCAAGAAGGAAGGAACCGAGGCACCGCCAGGATGGAAAAAACCAAAGAACCCTTTTTTTCCCCCCCCACCACCACCAAAAGACCTTCCCCACAACAACCTCCGCCGAGGTCCCACCTTCCTTCACGACGCCCATCTTAGCAGCCGGGGAGTTTTGCTGCACTCGCTTGACGAAGACCCCGTCATCCGTCTGGTCGATGGTGATGCCGTGGGAGCCGCTGCCTTGCCAGTTGGGGAGCAGGATCTCCCGGGTCTCCTCCTCCTTCTCCATCTGGCGAAGGAAAAAGGCAGAAGGTGAGAAGCGTGACGGAGGAGACGGGTTTTGAGCACGGGACGTTGGGGAAGAAGAGCTAAACCAGCTCCATCCCACTGACCTTGCTGGGATGCTGGTCCCGGCTTGGATCCGCCCCAGGAATCCCTCTGCCTTCACTTGTGGACCTCGCAGCAGCTTTCGTTTCACCTTCCCAGCCTGGTGGAGACATCAGAGAGGTCCGCGTGAAACTCCGGCTTTCCTCCCACTCTCTCTTTCTTTCTTCCACCCCCGACACCCAGACGGGACGGGAGCCAAAGCCCGTCCCAGCCGCCCACGGCACGACTCTGCCCGAGGCCGTATTGCGAGCCGGGCGGTTTTGGTCGATGGGACAACAAGCGAGAAGCTGCGTAAGAGCTAAATGTCACCATGGCCGAGGGTGGCAAACGGCCACCACGTCTCGTTGACCCAACCAAAGGTTGTCACTGATACACCTTGGACCAACACAGTCCTCGGAGAAGCTCTTCTCGTGCTCAGGAATAGACGTTTCTGCTGTTAACACGGAAACTAAAGAAATTCAAACGTTGGATGGTCGGGAAGTACAAAAGCAACAAAAGTCACTTTGCAACGTCGGCTCTCCTGCTTCACCCGTGTCTCCTTGACCCCCCGGACCACCACCCCGAAGTCAACTTCTTTGCCACCTAAAAACGAGTTGAGGGGATTTCTCCATTTCTAGCCAGCTTCGGGCAGGCATGAGAAATAAATAGCAAAGAAATCCTCCTTCCAACCCCAGCCGCAAAGATTACGAGAAGGGCAAAGACGGGACAAGCCAGATCCTTGCAAATTCTGGGCCCCGCAGCCAACGCTCGGACTGGGATCTCGGGGCAGGAGGGCACCTGCCCCATGGCAAAGCCTCTACCGAAGAGGCTCACGAGGGCAAACCCACCTCCTGAAGGTCTCATTTCTTTAATCTGAACCCAAATTTAGAGAGAAGCTTGGTAATTCCAGCCGCTCTGATGTGAAACACGCCGGCCCGGGGCTCACCTGGACTGGCAACGGGAAGGGTTCTCCAAAAAAAAAATGGCCTCCCATCCCATCTCCTTCACCCACATCTGCTGCCCCTTGCAGCCCTTCCAAGCACCACCAGTAAAAGGAGAGACGGCGACGCAGAGGAGGATTTTTGGAGGGGATTTGGGGCTTTCGTCCTTTTCTACAGGTACCAGCCAAGGATCTAAACCTCAGAGCAGCTCGTTGGGCATCGAGACATTGGTCAAGCACGGAAGCGGTGCAACTCTACGGAGCCCATCCCCACGTGGACCTTCCCGAAGGAGCCCAGCGGGACCAAACCCAGTGAGGAGACCAGCCTCCTCGGCATGGAAAGGTCAACGGAGGAGCTGCCCCTTCGCGGGCTTGCACAGACGTTCCAACGTCACCCGCGGCACATGACGTCATCTCCTCGCAAAGCCCCAGAGAAACCTCAGGACCGCGTTTCACGGGACTGGATGAGGTGGGACAGGACCTCTGGAGGTCATCCACTCCAACCCTCAAGCAGAGCCACCTTGAGCCGGTCCACGGAGGACTATATCCAGGTGGCTTGTGAATATCTCCAAGGGATGGAGACTCCACCGCCCCTCGGGGCAAGCTGAGGACATCTGCAAGGCTGGATTTTTTCACTCTCCAGCTGAGTGGTCCTCAGTTTTGGATGACGGGGCAGATCATGCCCTCGGCAAGTTTGCAGATGACACCAAACTGGGAGGAGCGGCTGATATGCCAGAGGGTGGTGCTGCCATCCAGAGGGACCTCACCAGGCTGGAGAAAGGGGCTGAGAGGAACCTCATGAAGTTCAGCAAGGAGAAGTGGTATGTCCTGCCCCCGGGGAGGAGCAACCCCAGGCACCAGTATGTGCTGGGGACCACCCAGCTGGAAAGCAGCTCGGAACAAAGGCCCTGGGGGTCCTGGTGGACACCGAGATGACCACGAGCCACCAACGTGTCCTTGCTGCAAAGAAAGTGAATGGTGTCCTGGGCTGCATTCGTTCAACGAGGGGATGGCCAAAGTCCTGCCCCCGGGGAGGAACAACCCCAGGTTGGTGGACCAGCGGCCACGGGCACAAACTGGAGGACAGGAGGGTCCTTCTGACCATCAGGAAGCACCTTTTAACCGTGAGGGTCCCCAGGCACCAGCACAGGTTGCCCAGGGGGGTGGTGGCATCTCCATCCTCGGAGATCTTCAAGAGCTGTTGGGACGTGGCCCGGCTGGAGAAGGGGTTTGGCCGAGGTGACCTTGGAGGTCCCG